TCAGCCTTCCAAGTAGTTGGAACTACAGGTGTGAGCTACCATATCTGGCTAATTTTTTGATTTATTGTACAGATGAGGTCTCACCAAGTTGCCCAGGCTGGTCTCGAACCCGTGGGCTCAGGCAACCCTCTTATCTTGGCCTCCCAAAGTGCTGGGATTATAAGCGTGAGCCACCATGCCTGGCCTCTTTTTTTATTATGCCAAGTTTATTACAAAAGGGAAAAAAAGGACATTATATGTTGATAAAAGGTTTAAAAGATGATATAACAATCATAAACATATTAATACATTACAATGGAGCCCTAATACATATGAAACAAAAACTGACAGAATTTAAGGGAGAAATGGGAAAATTATATAATAATAATTAAAAACTTCAAAGTATACCACTTTTACTGATGGATAGATCAACTAGATAAAAGATTAATAGGAAATGACTTGAACAACCCTATAAACCAAGTAGACTGAATAAGCATACAATACACTCTACCCAACAGCAGAAGAATGCATATTCTTCCAAAGTGCACATGGGACATTCTCCAGGATTGGCCATATGTTAGGTAAAATAAATGTCTTAATACACTCTTAAAAATTATTTTGGTATGTTGGGTTTTTGTTTTAATTTATCTCAAAATATTTTCTAATTTTTTTTCTGATTTCTTTTTGCCCATTTATTGTATGAGTGTGTTATTTCAACATACTTGTGAAATTTCCATTTTCTTGTTATTTATATCTAGCTTCGTTACATAATATTTAAATAAATAATTTATATTATTTCAGTGTTCATTTTCAATGCTGCATAACAATCACAAATTTAGCAACATAAACAGCACATATTTATTATCTCACAGCATCAGAAAGTCAGGGCTTCAGTTGTAACTTAGCTGTGTTCTCCACTCAAGTCTCACAAGGCTATGATTAATGTATTGGCTGGGCTATGCTCTAATTTGGAGATTCAAATAGGAAGGATATGCTTTAAAACTCACTCAGATTATTGGCAGAGTTCATTTCTTTGCAGTTGTTGGACTGAAGGTCATGATCTCTTACTGGCTATCAGCTATCAGCTGAAGGTTGCCTTTAATTCTAGAGGCCACCATAGCTCCCGGCAGTTCATAATATGGCAACTTACTTGTAGGCCAGTGGATCTCTGTATGCATCGGCTAGCAAGCCAGGTCCTATATACGTGTGTGTGTGTGTGTGTGTGTGTGTGTGTGTGTGTGTGTGTGTGTGTAATAATAACAGGATTGATAGCCTATCGCCTTTGATGTATTCTTGGTGAGGAGCAAGTCATAGGTCTGTCCCACACACAGAGAAGACGATTATACAAACAGGTAAATGTCAGGAGGTGAAAATTATTGGGAGGTCACCCTGGGATCTGTCTGCCACAATCCCATTAAAACTGAAATATTCAGGGAGTGACTTAGAGTTAGATATAAATTATTTATTTATATAATTTAGACTCTTCTGGAGTCTAGTTGTCTCTAAACAAATTGATTTTTGTAATCTCAGCACTTGGGGAGACTGAGGCAGGAGGACTGCTTGAGCTCAGGAGTTCAAGGCCAATCTAAACAAGATAATGAGACCCCATCTCAAAAGAAGGAAGGAAGGAAGGGAGGGAGGGAGGGAGGGAAGAAAAAATATCTATTTTTGTTCTCTTGTTTAAAAAAAAAAAAAAAAGCAGGCCGAGTGTAGCGGCTCACACCTGTAATCCCAGCACTTTGGGAGGCCGAGGTAGAAGGATTGCTCGAGCCCAGGAGTTCAAGAACAGCCTGGACAACATAGCAAAACCTCATCTCTACAACGAATCAAAAAATTAACCGGGTGAGACCCTGACAAAAAAAATACATGAAAGGGAATTCTTTTTAGAGAACATTTGCACTCCCTGGATCATAAACACCAGGAGGACAGGGATTTTTATCTGTTGAATTGGCTGTTAAAATTGATCCCAACTCAAAAACAACAAAAACAACAACAAAAAACAGTAGCCAGATAGAAATTCTTGGACAAGGCCTGGGGAAGCTACAGGACCCAGAGGGTAAAGAAGTTAAATCAAGAGAGAAATAATTATCTTGAGCTTCGAGCATATTTAAGAGATCAAAAATTCAAAAATTTAGATATATTGGTTGTTGGTTTGTGTCTGCTTGTTTTGTGGTTTATTTATTTTGCTTTGATTTTCCACAAATATTTGCCAGTACATGTGTTTTAGCCTCCTCTCTATTCTGAGTTGGTCGTTATTGCCAACTTCAATAGTTCATAGAACCTTGTTCATTCGGTTCCCTTCGCGCAACACCTAAATTCTCTGAAGAGATAAGCCTACTTTCGGCTTCAGAATTCGAACACTTACCATCTGTCTTAAACTTTTAAAGTAACTTTTAGCCAAGACAAATGTGGATTATAGGCAACAAGCTGGGACATTTCTGGTCTCAGAACAGGAAAAATAAAGGAAGCTCTATGTATCACGTTAAGTACTTTGTTTGCTAGTAGTGTCTGTGGTGAATGAAAAATTGATCCTTAATTGTGTGGGAAACAGAGAAGTGATCTGCATGCCAATAGCCTGGTACAGACTTCAGAGACTTAGCAGTTTTGAAACGGGTATTTATGAACATCTGCTTTTTCCCCATAAATTTTAATATGGATTTCATCCTTTGAAACCTACAAAACTCCCAGGTGCTTCTTCAGTCTTTATCTTGGGGCAGCATGTTTAAAACAAAACAAAAAAAAGTCTCCTTTTTTTCCATTGAACACATTCGAAATCGCTTTTGAGTATTGAGACAATACTCCTACATATACAGTGCCTATCAGAATGCCTGTGATATGGTATTAAATGTTAACAACACCAAATACTGCGATCAAGATGTTGATCCTTCAAGACATTCAATCCCAGAACACGAGTCGTAGTCATCTTAATAAAGGATGTTGAAAAATATTCATTTATAGTCCCAGTGTATGCCTTTCATTGTTCTACAAATATTTATTTAGCCCTTGCTATGTGGCAGGCACTTCAAGGTGCTGAGGTTACAGCAGCCAATTCAACAGACAAAATCCCTGTCCTCGTTGTGTTTATGTTCTAGGGAGGCAAGTATTCTCTAAAAAGGATTTTTTTTTTTTTTTTTTGAGTCAGGGTCTTATTCTGTCACCCAGGCTGAAGGGCAGTGGCATGATCATGGCTCATCACAGCCTTGACCTCCTGGGCTCAGGGGATTCTTCTGCCTCAGCCTCCCCAGTAGCTGGGACTACAGGCACACACCAACACAACAGGCTAACTTTGTTTATTTTTTTATAGAGACAAAGTCTCTTTATGTTGCCTGGTCTTGAACCCCTGGGCTCAAGCAATCCTCCACCTGGCCTCCCAAAGTGCAGGGATTATAACATCTGACCTAAATTTTCATAATACATTTCACATAGTTCATCGGAAAATGGGCTTTGCACTGGGCCTGCAAACCAGTGATGTTCGTCCCTTCCTGATGCTGGGCTAGACCCTGGGCATACAACTGTGGACAAAGTAGACCTGTTTCTGCTCTCAAGGAGCTAATAGTTAGATGTACTTCTCAACACTGCTGAAAAAATGTAAAACAGAGAATCCAGAGCTTTAGGGTAGTCACTGGACCACTCTCTATTTAGATCCGTTATAAATGGTGCAAACTGCCTATGTCACTCGGCTCTGGGGAAGTGTCGCCATAGGAAGAAAAGAGAATATGTGGGCCAAAGGAAAGGAAACAAACTCACAGCTCAACAGAGCAGAAGCACATAGGTTTGCTGGACCCATGCAAGACTAGGAAGAACATTAAATCTCTCTTAGGAGGAGTAACCCTTTAAGAGTGCAGGCACAATGGCTCACACCTATAATTCCAGCACTTTGGGAGGCCAAGGCAAGCGGACTGCTTGAGACAGTACTTTGAGATCAGCCTAGGTAGCATAGCAAGACCCTGTCTCTAAAATAAAATTTAAAAATTAGCTTGGTGTGGTAGTGCACACCTGTAGTCCCAGCTACTCGGGAGGCTGAAGCAGAAGGATCACCTGAGACTAGGAATTCAAGGCTGCAGTGAGCCGTGATCATGCCACTGCACTCCAGTCTGGACCACAGAGTGAAACTCTAACTCAAAAAAAAAAAGAAAAGACAAGTGCAGTTCTGGCCACCCGGTACCAAAGGAGATAACTCATTTATATAATAGGAGAGTCTCAGGAGGACAGTAGATCTAGTTAATTTGGTTAGGCTAATAGTTTTGCATCCAGTGACAGTCTAATGAAACCTCTCTTTCCTCTGCTTCTTAAACAGCAACACATTGGCAAGTGCCACAGGGCACATCAAACTTGGGCAGTCTTCTTGGATGTCGATTCTACTAATCATTTGGAGGACAAAAAAGTTAACTAATTTACAGATAATAAGTGAAGGTATTATCTCCCATTAAAACCAATATAGCTACATCATGGAATAGAGTGTAACATTTGCATATACTTCTAAGATAAAACATAAGACTAAAACAGTCCTGGAGTCAAGGGCTTTAGGGATTAAGCCTGCTCCTAAATTTTTCATCAGTCCCCTGTAAAGCCAATCTAATAAAAATAATATTTTTGATATGGACAATTGGTTCTCAATTTTATACCAACTATAAATAAAGGACAAATCCCCCAGCAGTATTTATTTCAACCACACTGCCACTTGGATATCCTTTTTTTAATTAAAGGGACCTCTGGAACTACTACTGATGCAAGAAAATTCTTGGCCACTGCAGGCTCTGACACCTCACCCCCTACCCCTGACTCCCAGTCGTGGGGTCCATGCTCACCCCCTCTGCATTTATCAGTAGTCTTATGGAAGACTTTGAGCTGATTGCTTTTTTCCGGGGCTAGCCAAGAGAAGTTTTGTCAATGCTGTCCCTTAGTCCTTAGCACTGAAACACAGCACTGGCATCTGACTCCATATCCCCTTTTGCCAGTCTCATATTGTTATGCAGCAGGCAAATCAGCTTATGCTTTTGTGCTTTGTGTTCCTGAACCAGGATCTGGACCAGGTACAGCTCCATCTGGAAGAAGTGAGGTTCTTTGACGTGTTTGGCTTCAGTGAAGCAGCAGGAGCATGGCAATGCTTCATGTGCAACAACCCTGAAAAAGCAACCGGTGAGAGAACCCCTCTTGCTGCTAAGAACCACTGTGCCCCTTGGATTTACAGAGATCTTTGAGCTGGCCTTCCTGTGGCACAAACATCCAAAGTTGCAATAATACACGGAGTTGTCCCTGCTTTGTACTAAAAAAGACATCTCATCAAAGTGGTAAAGAGAAAAAAGGAAGATGCTGGAAGGCAGAGAAACAATCATTTATCTATATGTGGTTATCAGGAAAGCAGCATCAGCCATTTTGCCCTAGAAGTATTCTTTATTTTACCCAAATGACCCTGAGGGTTCAAGAAAAACAAGTGTTCTCTCAAGGTGTGTCCCAGATCCTTAAGGAGATGAGACCCCACTAAATGAGTGAATGAGCACGCAAACCATTTTATCTTATATCATCCCTAACATTGTTGATGACTGAACTGTGTAAAAAAATGAAACATTTTAGTCCATGCATGGTGGTTCATACCTCTAATTCTAGCACTTTGGGAGCCCGAGGTGGGAGAATTGCTTGAGCCCAGGAATTCAAGACCAGCTGGGCAACATGGTGAAACCTCGTCTCTACAAAAGAGAGCCCAGCATGATGGCATGTGACTTTAGTCCCAGCTACTTGGGAGGCTGAGGCAAAAGGATTGTCCGAACCCAGGAGGTTGAGGCTGTGGTAAGTCATGATCACGCCACTGCACTCCAGCTTGGGCGACAGACTGAGACCCCAACTCAACAGCAACAACCATTTAAAGAGTAAGGAATTGTTCGAGGTATAAACTCATGGCTAACCTTTCTCCTTCCTTTCTGCTGCCCAAGGAATTTGGTCTACTGACCTTGCCTAAAAATAATTGTTAGTGAACACAAGCCAGGCCCTATGCTAAACACATCAGATACCATATCTCATTTAATTAATCCTTGCAATAATTTTATGAGGAAAGTGCTGATATTATTTCTGCTTTACTGATGAGGAAACTGAGGCACAGAGAGATTTGGTAACTGCCCAAGATCACACAGGCAATAAATTAACAGCAGCAGAATTTGAACCCAACTGGACCCCAGAATCCACTCTCATGACTATCTCCCCATTCTACCTCCTAGTTACACTTGGCCCAATCTAACTAGTGGAAATCAGTTACTAATAAGCCTGTGTCCACAAGGTTATGCTGTCAGTGGAAATGGAATATTTCATCACTAATTTGCCCTCCAAGAGGAGAGGGTTCTCAGTGTTGACACTACTCAGGAACTGCAGTTTAGAAATTCGGTTGAACACAAAGTCACTTTGCAGATGAGTCATCCTCTAGAAAGCCCGTAATTAGACCACCTGTATCCAGTTCTTTAATTTTAAGATTTTCTCCATCTTAAATATTACTCATTGTGGCAAGACTATCCTCTTGTTAACTGTCAAGATGTTGAGGCTGAATCAAAAAAGTGTGTTTATTTGGCCAGATGGAGGTGTGCGGGGCTTGCGGAGAAGTTCCAATTAAAATGTATTACCCCACGGAAAAGGTGTGCATGGCAGAAGTTGGCAGTCAGGACGCCAGCCTTTGTGAGGCACAGATTGTTGGCTGATTACAGAGTCTGGATTGAGCTGGTGCCAGAGTGAACACCCCAATTTTTAAAAAGTTAATTCAAGCAAATAAGGAATTGGGGAATTGACTGTCTCCATTATAAAACTTTCTAATTAGGCCTTATTTCACATATGAAAAAGGCAGAGCATAAAAGAAACTTTACTTAAGAGCTGGTAAAATAAGGTACTTATCTTAGGTAACTCCAAGAGGCCCTTAAGAGTTTTCACTCCAAGTAAGCTGAGTCCTTAGTTCAATAAATATTTAATCGTATCTGGCCAAGTAAGGCCTCAGCAAAGGGGCTGCAAGTGAGAAACACAGTGTTCCTTTAATATATGTTTTCTTAAATTCATTGCCGTGCACTTGAAAAGAACATTTTGCACATTCACTCTTTCTTATTTGTGTTTCTCACAGTTAAATATAGACTGAGAACATATAGCAATAAAAATTCAAGCGAGGCCAAATATTTTATAGCAGAACATATTGAATCAAAATGTTTGGCCCTGAACACTTCAGTGGGTTTGAATTTCTTTGCTCATTTCCTTTTACTACATGAAAGGAGATTTTGAGTTTGAGAGAAATCCTATTTTAAACTGTTTTTTTTCCCCCACCAAAAACCCTTGTCTCCCTGCATAGTATATATAGGTTGTTGATTTCATCTTCTTTTTTTATACAAGCATATAAATTAGATATTTATTCTAAGTGAAAGGCCTAAAAACACTGCTGCCAAATATATTACTCATGAAGATGGTATTTGTGTTCATGTTCTGCTTAAATTCAGAGTTTAAAGATTATCAAGACACAGGAATAAATACTTCATTGGTCATGCAGAACTAGCATGATTTGCATCCCATTTTTCATTGATGCAGTGCATATTTGCTGAGTGTCTTCTACAGGCTGAACCTTGGGATAGAAATATGTGTAAGGAACAATGTCTCTGCTCTGTCAATGAAGAGGATTCATAATCCAGTCAGAGCCAGACGGTGTATATAAGAAAATCTAGCACACTTCTTTGTGTTTTGTTTTTGAGTCAGAATCACACTCGGTCGCCCAGGCTAGAGTGTGTTGGCATGATCACAGCTCACCGCAGTCTCAAAAATCCTGGGCTGAAGCAGTCCTCCAGCCTTAGCCTCTCAAGTCACTGGGACTATAAGCGCATGCCAGCACATGCAGCTAATTTTTTGATTTATTGTAGAGACGTGGTCTTGCTATGTCGCCTAAACTTGTCTTGAACTCCTGGGCTGAAGCAATCTTCTTGTCGGCCTCCCAAAGTGCTGCGATTACAGGCATGAGCCACTATGCCTCTCACTCCCTTGTATGTTTTCAGCATGCAATAGATATTTGTTGAGTGAGTGGATGAATGAATAAATAACATTTAGAAATGGCAAAGTTGGCCAGGCCTGTAATCCCACCACTTTGGGAAGCTGAAGTAGGAGGATTGCTTGAGGCCAGGAGTTTAAGACCAGCCCAGGCAACATAGTGAGACCCACATCTCAAAAAAAAATAAAAGTAGCTAGGCATGTTGGCACATGTGTGTAATCCCAGCTACTTGGGAAGCTGAGGCAGGATTACTTGAGCCCTGGAGTTGGAGGCTGCAGTGAGCTATGATCATGCCACTGTACTCCAACCTAGGCGACAGAAGCAAGACCTTTTCTCTCTCTAAAAAAAAAAAGTCAAATATACCATGAATATCAAAATGTGATGTTTCCAGATTGTAATTATGTGCTAACCATATCAAATATATCACTATATCAGACCCAGTGCATTCTGAATCTGGTAAATGGAGGTTGGTACTGTTTCTTCCTTGAGAAAAATCACCACATGTAAAACAAAAGACCCACTCCCCTGCCTGTCTCAGCATCTGATTGTACTCTGTCCAACTATGTACCGTTCTGGGTTTCATCTGTACCCTCACAGGGGCCAGATGCCCTGTTGGCTTCAGGGTGGAAGGATCCAAAGAAGTAAGATTGGAGGCTAGAACCAAAGGCTGAAGAAACTGGAATATATTATATATTGTTTTTGAGTTGGAGTCTCACTCTGTCACTCAGGCTGGAGTGCAGTGGCACGGTAACAGCCACAGCCTCGACCTGCTGGGCTCAGGTTATCCTTCTGCCTCCGCCTTCCAAGTAGCTGGAAATACAGATGCATGTCACCATGCTTGTCTAATTTTTAAATTTATTGTAGAGATGAAGTCTCCCCTAGTTACCCAGGCTGGTCTCGAACCCCTAGACTCAGGCAATCCTTTTGCCTCTGCCTCCCAAAGTGCTGGGATTATAGGCGTGAGCAACCACCCCTGTATTTTTGATATTTTTAAAAGGTATTGACAATTGATATGATAATTGTTTTCAAGGATTTATGTTCCGATATTTTATTTTAATTGCTGGCCAGCATCTCCACAAACGAGAAGCATAATTGAGACAATTAGAGACTTTCAGTTGACATCAGGAAGGACATCCAGAAATAGATAATACTTCTTTTATTTATTTGTTTGCTTGTTTATTTATTTTTATTTTGAGTCAGGGTCTCACTCTGTCATCCACATTGAAGTACAGTTACACAATCATGGCTCATTGCAGCCTCTAACTCCTGGGCTCAAGCAATCCTCCTGCCTCAGCCTCCCAAGTAGCTGGGACTACAGGTACCCACCACTACGCCTGGCTAATTTTTCTATTTTTTGTAGAGACAGGGTCTTGTTTTGTTGCCCAGGCTGGTCTGGAACTCTTCGCTTCAAGCAATCCTCTCGCCTCAGCCTTCCAAAATGCTGGAATTACAGACATGGGCCACCGCACCTGGCTAGAAATATATAATACTTCCCCTCTTCAGGTGAATGTCTCATCACCATGTTCTCACCAACTTCACCATCAACACACAGAAATTCACAGAAGCTTAATATCTAGTGATCAATAAAACATTTTTATCCAATTAAGTACAGATAAAATCAGAGAAAACTAAGTGTTAAAATAATGTAGAGGCCCTGAGACTATTTTAATTGCTAGCATTTATCATTCTAACTATAGGCCAAGCTTTACATGGATTTTTTTTCTCATTTTCTCACCATTAGTGACTCTATTTTACAGATGAGAAAACTGAAACACAGAGATATTATGTAATTTTCCCAAGGTCTCATAGCTACTCGGTGCTAGAACCAGAATTCTTAATCCAGACAGGTTGATTCTAGAACCTAAAATTTCAACCTTTAGGGCACAAGTTAAGGACATAGAATATTAGAAATTCCAAAAACAATTATTCCATAATATTGCAATATATTGCAAACACCCAGAGGCAAGTTTAATTTGTGAGAAGTGTTCTACCTCCTTGATGACTTATTCTACTTAAAAAAGAACAGAGACTTTGGTATGATAACATGCGGGAAATTATTGCTTGCAGGAAATGATGACAATAGAAGCTATTTTCAATTCTTACAATTGCTGATTCAGTTTCTGATAATCATTTTTATAAA